ACTGGTGCAAAATTATAACAGAAATGAAAAAAGGAATAAAAAGAAAAAGAAACTAGCGTGTGCATGGAGTGATTGTGGTTGTATTTAAAAGTCTCACAGTCCAAGGATAGAAACTATCTTTAAACCTATTTGTTCGACTGGCTATACTTTGATGTCTTCTGCCCAATGGTAGAAGTGCAAAGAGACACTGACCAGGGTGTGAATCATCTCTGAGTATCTTCCTTAAGGAAGACTTAAGGCAACCTCTGGCATTTATTTACTTATTCATTTTAAAGGATAGTTTGGGATGGATGAGATGGTGGCAACATAACCCTAACCTTTGGGCCCAGAGAGAGATCAGGAAAACAAGTAAGCAGCCACATGTAGTGGCTGCAAGGACTGAATTCATATGTGGACCTGAATTATGGAGTTGCACTGTGGACGACTTGCCAGTACCAGTAGCTTCTCAGAGATTCCAGAAAATACTTACGATGATTACAGAGAAGTGAAGACATGGTTCTTCCTCCTTTAGCTTGGAGAAATCGACACCTATAACATAAGAAAGTAGAAAGAAGTGAAAGCAGCAGCAGGAAGTGGAAGACTAGACTATTGAAAGGAGATATCTGCCCTGGAATCTTATATACCTTTACTTGGAAATGATTCTCAATAAGACATACTTCTAACTAGAAAGATGTAGAAGTTAGTCTTCTTTAGATGCTGGATTCTCCCCTATCTTTCCAACACCATGATAGCACTGATATTTTGAACTAGAACTCCTTTTATGAGTTTCATGTTCTCTATAATTGTGTTGACTATTGCTTTTTGGGGATACAATTGGTGCTGCGGACCAATATATTTGGAGGACATCAGTTTGGGAAATGATATAAAGTCACAGATTAAGACAGTGGCTGATGAGGATATTGCACTAGGACAGGAAAGAGACCCAGGTTCAAATTCACTCAGTCATGGAAAAACATTGGATGACTTAGGGCCAATTTATCATCCTGGTCTACTCACAAGGGATAAAATTAGAGGAAATTTTATTGAAATCTTGAATCCCAGAGGACAGGTTGGCATATATTGATCATAGCTAAAATTGCAAACCATGAGTACAAAAACTGCAACTCACAAACATTAATATCAGAGCTAGCCTAACTGGATAGTTCTGCAAATCTGAGGCTTTCTTTTGCACTTCTGAGGTTAGGGAGTCACCAGCTTCATCATATTTTTATGTGTTAGCAAAGTATATAATTTGTACTATTGCAAGCAACAAAAAGTTCCCAAGATAAGATCAGTTCCATCATGAGGACAACATGTAAACAACATGTAAATAAGCAAAATGTAAATTGATTCTTTGAAAATGTATAACAAAGGCTTCAAATGCTATTTTTTTAAACAAACAGCATCATTCATTAAATAGCATCAAAGCGAAGCTAAATCAAACGAAAGCTCAAAATGTCCATCTCACTATAAATTCACACAGCTTATTCTTTCAGTCATTAATTATAATTCAGGAATTACAACTGTCCTATCACAAATTCCTGTGGTTAGCAATATTCATCAGAGACTGTTGAGGAAGATTATGAAGCTTTCAGATAATAGAAGCTGTTTGAGTGGAATGGCTAAGAAATTTAATGGTCTCATGGGTGCTTACTGATTTTGTTAACAGCAGCTCTTACATCATACTGTTATAAACAAAACAAGTGATACAATTTTTCTATATCCACAACAGCACTGCATGATTTACAAGTGCTTCGATATTCCTGGCATACAAATCTGTTTTCCAGCTCTAACACTTGAGTAAAGTGTTGTTTAATGTTGTACGCCACCTAGAGTCACTATGTGCAAAGTGGGTGACCATATAAATCTATTTAAGTAATACAGAAAATAAATAATGGCATTTTAAACTCAAGGCATAGTCATACCTTCTTATTCCCACAGCACTGCCCTATGTCGAAGGATATTCATCTTTTGAGTAGGGCTGTATTACTATTATCCTTCTCATCTTTCTTATTACCTTCTACTATTGATATCTTTTGGTTATATTACTTTGTTCACTGAGAGCTTCTGCACCAGAGACAAATTCCTTGTGTGTCCAATCACTCTTGGCCAATAAAGAATATTGTATTGTATTGTACTTTCTGTAATAAAATAGAGCTGGGTCTACTGGCTGGATTAAATGCTATTACTTAAGGGTACACAATTATTTTGGTGTGTGTGTGTGTGTGTGTGTGTGTGTGTGTGAGAGAGAGAGAGAGAGAGAGAGAGAGAGACTTAAGTATGATAATCTCCAGCCGCTTGTAAAATTCATCTAAAAGCAAAAAGGAAGGATATTTTGGAACAATATCAACACTAATGGACTTTTTGTGGTTGTTCTTAAATGACCTTTGATCCTTAAATTCTCCCTTTTCCAAACTGGCTATTCTCCAGCTGTATTGAGACTACAGTTTCCAAAATAGTTAGGCAACCTGGCTGTAAATTCTGAGATATGTAGTTCCAATATGTTTGGAGGACATCCATTTGGGAAAACCTCTGTCCTGGGAAAACTTTCTCCAATGTGGCCATCACACCGGAGAAAGTTTTTTTTTTAATTATTAGTATTACCATCGCACCGGTTTCCCTGAAAATAAGACCTCCCCAGATAATAAGCCCAATTGGGCTTTTGAGCGCATGCATTCAAATAAGCCCTCCCCTGAAAATATTGCAACACAGCAGCAGCCATGAGGTGACCACACTCGCTGCCTCCTGCACCTCAAAAATAAGAAGACCTCCCCGAAAATACGGCCAAGCGATTATTTCGCGGGTCAAAAGAAAATAAGACCCTGTCTTATTTTTGGGGAAACACGGTAATAGGGACTTTTGTACAGACAAAATCAATGTTGATCTCCAAAGTGCCTGTCGCTCTGAAGATATTGCATCCAGGGGGAATCTCAAAGCAATATTTTCAGGACTCTGCTTCAAAGCAGATTCAAGTGCTGTTTGCCACTCCTTGAGCGGGTACAAATGACAACCACCTCATTGCCAATTTCTAGTCTATCACAGGAATGTGTCTAGCAACAGATGTTGAACTGACAGGCTAAAGAAAGCAATTGGTGTTTTGTTTCCCTCCCTCCAATTACATTATATGTACAAAGATAGAAATATGCTGAGATACCCACAACAGAGGAATGGTTGGTGAAGATGACACAATTTGCAGAGATGGCAAAATTATCTTACTTGACCAGAGAAAAAACAACAATTACAATTGTCAGTAACTGGAAACCCTTTATGAACTTTTTGCTGAACATCTGATCATTTTTCACAGAAATTTGGGCTCAATTGTGGCTGTAAGTCAAGGACTACCTGTATAACAGAAGCAAGATTTCAATGGTCATCCATGGAGAACAAATCTGGGCATATATTGCTAATTTAATATATCCCATTATTGTTAGTGGACCTTTATCGTTCCAAGCTGCATAGAGGAGTCAGCTGTCTGCAATGCTAAAATGTATATTTTAATCTATCCCAATTGAATGCTCTCTTTCCTAATTGGCAGTAGAGGTGGAGAAGGATGGCACTCTATTTTTGGAAGTGAAAAATATGCTTAATGTTATCCTTTCTTTAAAACAATCACTATTCCTCTAACGCTTTTTGGAATATTTTGTATCAGCTTGGAGGCAAGAGTTTAGATTAAGAAACATCACGTGGCATGCATTTAATGGAGTGATATGGTAGATTTCTGGGAAGAGCTCTGAGCTTTTGGAACAAATGGTTGTTTCTTTTTGGCACGACTGCTCAAAATACATGCAGTACTTTAAGAAATTATAATTTCATCTAAGCTCCTTTTTTCTATTACAAAATCAAGTCATCACAGTAATGGACATCCTAGCAAAAGGCCAGAAAAAGATTTGAACCTGGCCAGGTACAAGCCTCTGAACACTGGTTCTTTGTGCAAAGTAAACACTTTAAGATAACTCAGACTTGGAATTGAATGCTGTTCCTCACTCCCTCAAACACATACACAATGTACATAACCATTAATGTACAGTACATGCTGAACACACACAGGCACACATAGGCTCTAGAGCCGTGATGGCGAACCTATGGCACACGTGCCAGAGGTAGCATGCAGAGCCCTCTCTGTGGGTATGGGCACCGTAACAAGCTGCTCTTCTGGTTTCCAGTGCGCACATCAGTGGTGGGTTCCGGATCCCGTTCCAACCGGTACGGTTGGAACAGGCTTGGCGGCATCCACATGGTAAGCGCACGCAGGTTTCTTACCGCCTCCGCAAGCCTCCGCAATGCTCCAGCTGCTCAGCGGAGCATCGCACAGGCGCTGTACACACCATGCACATGCGCATAGGTGCCGAAGACGTAAAAGACCAGTAAGAAGCTCGGGCGGGTGGGCGGGCCCTCCGGAGCACCATACCGGAATGGTATCCAGTGCTCCAGGCAGGCTCCGGTATGCCCGTACTGGGAAGTACTGTCTGCAACCCACCACTGGTGCACATGCACACCGGCCTGCTGATCACGCATGCTGGCATGCCAGAAACCCGAAGACCAGCTGGCCAGTGCGCATGTGCACACTGGCCAGCTGGTCTTTGGGTTTCTGGTGGTGCAGTGCATGTGCATACGCACCAGTGGTGAGTTGCAAATATTTTTACTACCAGTTCAGGTGAACTGAAGTGGGCCAAAAGGGGGGGAACCCATCACTGATATTCGTGTAGACACACATTCTGGTTTGAGCACTCGGTGTCGAAAAGGTTCACCATCACTGCTCTAGAGCAGTGAGTCTCAATTTTGGGAAGTTTAAGATATGTGAATTTCAATTCCTAGAACTCCCTAGCCAGCCATGTTGATTGGGGAATGTTAGGAGCTGAAGTCCACACATCTTCAAGTTGCCAGGATTGAGAAACACTGCTCTAAAGGTGTGAGATCTGTATATTTTTCTGAAGAAGCCCATCAAACTGAAGGAGCAGCCTGGCGCACAGTCAAATGGACATTGTTTCCTGAGTAGCAAAAATAATTCCTTCCATGACCTGGTGTAGCTGAGCTACTGCATTCCACAAGGTCTAATACAGTAGCTACAGGAAAGAATGGAGTGGGGAAATGGATGGATTGATGGAAAGGTAGATAGATAGGTGCCTTTTTATTCTTCTTATAAACAATCAGGATAAAAACTTTGTTGATGATTGTAAAACAATCCCATAATTCACTAAAACACTCCAGTCTATAATCTAGTGATCATTCAGACATAAAGAAATGAAAAGAAATAGATTGGGCATATCATCAAGAAGCAAATCAATTCAAAATAGGATTCCTTGTGATTTCTGCCTTATTCATATTAAATTGTTTGGTCATTTATAATATTTTAGGCAGTTTATTTCATAACAAAATGTGCTTGGCAGTGTTTTAATTTCATCAAGTAGAATATTGTGTGGGATACTTATTTAGTTATACATTTGGTATTCTTCAAGATGTCAAAAGGCTTGTTTTTCCTGCAAGAAACATGACTGAATCTTTCAAACTTATTATATAGTTTGCAACTATCAGGATCTTTATTT